GAAGAAGTGTGTGAGCCTTCCCTTAGCTTGGTGACGGTAGGTGCCAGCCTTAGATGTTAACAGTACTGAGAGCCTGGGCTGTGCAAGGCTAGGACAGAAATACAAGGTTAAGCACAGTCCTGGGTTTCAGTATAGCTCAGGATGGAGTGCTTGCTTGTTGAAAGGTAGGGGTGAGGTGTTCTCTTTAAAAGCCAAAGCATGACTCCTCAAGAAAAGGAGGCAGAAGCTGCTGGATGTGTCCCCTTAGTATTACAGCATACACTGATTCTCTGGGACTTTGCAAACCTAGTTTCCCTACCACACCACTGGTTTATTTATTATTTTTCTAACTTACTTACTTAGGGTCTCTTATACTTAAGGCTGACACTGAACTCAATGTGTAGCTGAGAATGACTTTGAATTTCTGATTCTCCTATTTCTCAAGAGTGCTGGCTCAGTTTCTCTCCTGATGACAGCACCCTTATTTAACAGGCCCTTACCAAGCAACTAGAATCTGCTGGCCAAATTGTCTCAGTACCCCTTGAGGTACTGGGTACCTGTACCCAGCAGGCTGACACCTCAACAAGTTTGCTGTGACAGTGGCTCCCAAATGTGGCACCTGCTGGTTACCAGGCTTCTGCCGTTCACCGTGGTATGGCCCCACCTGCTGCAGCCCCTCCTCTAAGAGCAGAGGGAGTGGAGGTCCTGCTCTGACATGTTCCGGCCCTAACCCAGGGCTGACTGCTGAGGGGACACGAGGCAGGGAGCGAGAAAGAGTTGTGGACGAAAGGGTCTAAGTGTTCTTTCTTTTCATTCCTGATTTATGCCACCACACTGCTCACTCAGGCTTGGAGGCCTCTGGACAAGGAAACTTGAAGATCAGAGAGGCCAATGAGTATTTTCACATCCACGTCTACCCAGCAACAAGTGGCTGTGTAGCTAGACAGCCCCTCATGCCTAGAGTCCAGCTTTCCTCAGACGGGAGCAGGAGGACTGCAGAGAGGCCAACACTAGTGAGACTCTGGGTCCAAAACAAAACAGAACCCAGAAAGTCGCTGTGGGATGGCAATTCAGTGCTGCTGTGCCATACAGGGAAAACATTGCCAAGGTGGAGCACCAGCATTCCATGGTCACAGTGGCACAGCAGAGATGGTGGGGGAGTACTGGTGTGGCAAGTCTCTCTGTGCCCATAATGCCCAAATAATGAACTATGTGCCCAAATTGTGAATGCTTGGCCTATAGCTTAGGCTTGTTTCTAACCAGTTCTTATAACTTAAATTAACCCATTTCTATTAATCTATGTTCTGCTACAAGGCTCATGGCTGTTACCTCTCTTCCTGCACATTCTGCTTGCTCTGGGTCTCCATCTTTCTCTTCCTAGAGCCATTTATTTATTTATTTATTTATTTATTTATTTATCTATCTATCTTTTTTGTTTTTTTGAGACAGGGTTTCTCTGTGTAGCTCTAGCTATTCTGGAACTAGCTCTGTAGAGCAGGTTCACCTCAAATTCACAGAGATCTGCCTGCCTCTGTGATGTGGGATTCCCCTCTGTATGTTGTGAATATGTTTTATAACCACTGGTTAATAAAAAAAAGTTGCCTCCTGAGTGCTGTGATTAAAGACGTGCGCCAACACTGCCCAGCCCCAGAATCCTTTCTGTCCCTAGAAGTCCCACCTATACCTCCTATCTAGCTATTGGCCATTCAGCTTTTCTTATTACACCGATCACAGCAATACATCTTCACAATGTACAAATATCCCACAACACTGAAGCACACTTAGAATAAGACCTCACAAGTACCATGGTGAAGGTGTCATCAAGAAAGAAAAATAAGAGGGTCAGAATGTTTGCTACTCCTCCAGAGGAGTGGAGCTCCCATGTCACATGTGGTGATTTGGATGAGAATGGCCCCCATTGGTTCATATATTTGAAGGCTTTATCTCCAGTTGGTGGAACTGTTTGGGAAGGAATAGGAGGTGTGGCCTTGTTGGAGGAGGCATGTCACTGGGGGTGGGCCTTGAGGTTTCTAAAGCCCACACCATTCCCAGTTAGCTCTCCCTGTCTGGTACTTATGGATCAAGATGTAAGCTCTCAGCTGCTGCCCCAGCACCGTGCCTGCCTGAGGCCATGCTGCCTGCCATGGTGGCCATGGACTCACACTCTAAAACTAGAAACCCAATAAACTTTCTCTTCTTTAAGTTTCCTTGGTCATGGTGTCTTCACAACAATAGAAAAGTAAGACATTAGGTCTGGAGAGATGGCTCAAAGGTTAAGAGCACTGGCTGTTCTTCCAGAGGTCCTGAGTTCAATTCCCAGCAACCACATGGTGGCTCACAACCATCTGTAATGAGATCCGGTGCCCTCTTCTGGCCTTCATCATACATTCAGGCAGAACACTATACATAATAAATAAATCTTTAAAAAAGAAAGAAACAAAGAAAGAAAGGCCAGGCTGGACAGTGGCAGTGTATGCCTTTAATTCCAGCACTTGGGAGGCAGAGGCAGGCGATCTCTGTGAATTTGAGGCCAGCCTGGTCTACAGAGTGAGTTCCAGGACAGTCAAGGTTACACAGAGAAACCCTGTCTTAAAAAAAAGAAAGAAAAAGAAATGAAATGAAAAATATGCGTGCATGCGCATGCGCACACACACATACACACTCCATTCTGGACACACAGGGATCTCAGAATTACTCATGTTTAGAAATGGACATCTTGGCCACTTTTCGCGATGGCCTTCTTGCTAGGGAAATCCCAATGTGGCACAGGGCAATATCAGGGACTTTGTGCCTTTTGTAAAGTCACTCATGGGGCTCCACTCAAGTGTTCCTATCTAACCCTAATCACTCCCCAAAGACTCACCCTAAATACCATGGTCTTATTAAATTTTGTCCTCTTTTCTGTTTTCTTTTGGGGACTTTGAATTGAACTCAGAATCTCACATTCTCCCTCTCACTGAGCTATGCCCCAAGTTCAGTGTCCACCCTCTTAATACCACACAATGGGGATTAAATTGGGCCAGTGACCTGGCCTCAGGGGACACAGCACTACCAGGCCATACAGTAGCTAAGGCAGTCATGGGGGTACTAGCCTGTCTAGCTTCTAGGGTGAAGGCCAGAGCCACTGTCTCATGCAGAAGGCATGGCTTTGGGAAAGACAGCTAGCCATGATCTGAGTATGCACACGAAAGCAAGAGTGTAGAAGGAAGGTCTCGAAGGGTTTGCCCCAGGCTGCCAGCAGTGCCACCTGTGAGGAAGGTGGTGGGGAAGGTTTTACTCTACTTCCGTATTCCTGGAGATGTCTATGATGAGATAGTATATGTACTAGCTCATTTGTTTAAGGTGAAACAGAAGAGAAGGGAAAGGGCGCTGTAAACTCTTCCAAGAGAAGGGTCTGATGGACTGGGACCGGCAGCTCAACTGGAGCCTGCAAGCTTAGCAAGTGGAAGGCATGTGTGCAGGCCCCAGCACATCAGAACAGAAGAATAAAAGGGTTTAATGTTTCTGGGACCAGTATTTTTGAGAAATGCTGCATAGTGTGTCTGAATTTAATAAAAGCATTTAAATAGGTTTGACTGTGATATCTTTGTTTTATATTTTTTGAGACAGGGCCTTACTATGTAGCCTGGCCACCTGAGTTGCATCCCCAGAATCCACATAGTGGAACGAAAGAACTGAAAGTCATCCTTTAACCTCCAGGCAGTCACCATGGCTTGCATGTGTCCCTGACCCCACATGCTCCCACCAATGGCAATCCTGCTTCTCAAGCGCTGGGGTTGCAGGTGTGCGTCACTACATGTCTTATCTTGAAAGTGTCCTTCAAAGCACTGCTTCTCAGGCTGGTAAAGACAGCGTGCCTACTCTTCATTGCTTTTTATTTCTTAAAAAAAATTGTCAAGCCAAAGGAAGGAAAATTCAGGTTTATGGGTGTGTGTGTGCACGCACGTGTGACATGCACACACGTCAGGGTCTTTTGTATACCAGGGTGGTTTTGCACTTGACATACACTCAACACAAACTTGATTCTCCTGCCTTCAAAGTGCTGGGATTACAGGTGCTCTCCACCACACCTGGTTTTATGCTGTGCAGGGAATCAAACCTAGAACTTTGTGCTTTTTAGGCAGGCTCTCTACTCACTGAGCCCTAGCTCAGTCTGTTTTCTTCTAAGAGTTCTATAGTTTCTTGTTTTTCACTTAGATTCCATGAACTACTTTAAGTGAACTTCCCCACCCCTCAATACTGGGGAGGCTAAGGCAGAAAGATTACAAATTCAAGGCCAGCTTGTGTTATGTAGTAAGATTCCATCTCAAAAAAACAGTACCTGCATAGGGCATAAGACAGGGCTTAGAGCCAGGTGGTGGTGGTGCACGCCTTTAAACACAGCACTCGGGAGGCAGAGACAGGAGGATCTCTGTGAGTCTGAGGCCACCGTGGTCTACAGAACTAGTTCCAGGACAGACTCCAAAGCTACAGAGAAACCTTGTCTCAAAAAAGCAAACAAAACAAAACAGACAATGCCATTCCTTTCTAAACAAGAGTTTGCAGTTTTTCTCAGAACCACCTACTGAACTCACCCACCTTTCCTCCCAGTGCTGAGGATTCAACCTAAGACCTTGGGTGTAGTAGACCATACCACAGAGCCATTGAGAGTTACATTCTTAGCCCCTGGGGCTTGAATGTGGGGTATAGTCAAGACTGGTCTTTACTGTCCTGTGTTGAGATGCCTAAATTAGAATACTTTTTCTGCTTGCTAGCACTTTGTATTTAAATTTCTGATACTCCCACCCACAGAGGCTCTTGGGCCCTGGAAGTGGGCAAGGACATTGATTACGTTGAGCTTACTAGGGACTGTCACCACGTGAAGGAGTGTGGCGGCGAAGAGACTGCTGTGTCTCTGGGATACAAGGGACTGTGCTGATGGAGTCCTGTGCTGACCTTTACAGCTTAGCTATTGCGACATTTCTCCATGTGGTGTGTGTGGCTGAGCGCGTGACTTGTATGTGTGTGTGCGCGCACACACACACCAGTCCTGCAGCAGGACAATGTCAGAGCTACTTGGTGAGTGTGAGATATTTAATGACTGTATGTGTAGAAACTAGGATTCTGGTATATGTCCCTGTCAGCTGAGCAAGGCAGCACTTGAAGTCTTTACTGTGACATGTCAAGGGGGAAGAGGCTTTGAGTGAGATTGGATGTGACAGCAAGACAGATAGATACCAAGTGGAGCAGAGGTAGGAAGGCTGTGCCAGGAAAGGGGGGGTGCCCAGTTGATGCTGTGGAATTCAAGTGTCAGGCAGGTGTCATTGTCCTCTCCCCCACAGGCCCTGGCCGCGTCCTGAAAGACTTGGATGTAAGGAGCTGTGGTCAGGCTGGGGCACGGCACAAGTGAGAGCTGTGTAGAGCGAGTGCCTGAGCTCTTAGAGGCGATGGAAACAAAATCAGTCTACGCATTTCTTCCTCCTCTCTGTCCCCTGGGTGCTAAGAGAGGACGAGGTGCCTCATCCTGCACTGGACAAGCCTGAGCAGGCAAGCATAATGGGTATGTGTCCAGGGCGGGTAAAGGCTGCTGCGGGGTGCATCCCCAAGTTCTCGGAAACTGTACCCCAGACCTTGAGAGCTGTACTACAGGAGATAACAGAGGGGTTGACAGATGTGGGGTAACAACTGGTTTTATTGAGAGGAAAACTAGAGGGCAGAAAGGGCAAGAAGCTGGAAGGAGAGGGGTGGGCAGAGAGTGGCGAAGGCAGGCCTGCAGATCTATGGAAACACCTGAAGTCAGCTCTGAGGCGGCAAGATGGCAAGACTGCTTTGTCCTGCAGACAGTGGACAGCTGAGACAATGAGTTCTTTGCCTCCCTGCTCCAACGCCAAGAGACTTGAATATAAGGGAGAGGAAAATGGAATGGGCTTTAGTTTGAAGTGGGGAATGAGAACTGAGTTCAGAAGTGAGAATTGACACCATGACTAAGAGTACACAGAGACCCCAGTGACACACATAAGAAACAGACCATCGCTGATGTGCACCTCGCTGCCGTGGAGGACACCAGTCAATGCTGCACCCAAGTCCCTGCTGGGATGAAATGAGAGGCTAGAGGTTGCTGAGGGCACAGCACAGAGGGTCCTGGGCTGTATTGGGCAGTAATGCCCAGGGCTTATTAAGGGGAGGCCATGGCTTTGGAGTCTGTGGGAAGGAAGGGAGATGGCTGCCAGGCAGTGCTGCAACACAATGCGACGAGCCTTTCCGGGAAGGAGGAGCCGCATATGTGGGAAAAGCCACACAGCTGGACCTGGAAGCAAGGCCTACTTCCAGTGTTTGCAGGCAAGTAGGACAGTTCCTCTTGGGCAGGAAGGGCCGAGAACAGCCTGAGCCTGGTCTGCAGGAAGTGCAGCAGGTTAACGTTAAAGCACAGCAGTCAATCAGCTAAGAGGCCGGGCTGGGCAGCTCCACGGCCTCCATCACTTCCGAAGGAACTTCTTGTTGAGGAGGAAGATGAGAAGATTGACATTGACTTTGGCTTTGTTGAAGAGCTTCATGACAGCCACACCCTCGTACTGCAGCTGCAACAGGTCCTAGGAGGGAAGGAACAGGGAGGGGTTTACGAGCTTCTGGGAGTGGTGCAGCCCATGAAACACTTGTCAGGAAGCCTCACAGCTGCCAGGAGCACTGGCCACTGAAGCAGGGTGTGGAAAGCCCACTCTACAAATGAGAAAAACAGGCGCAGTGATTTGACCAAATGCTAAGCCAAGTGGAGCCAGGGCTTGAACCCAGGTTTCGTATTCACAAATAACAGAGACTTGCACTGAGAATCCCCGCTCCGAAGCAGGCTGTGGTGGTGCACACCTGTAGCTCCGGCATGTGGGGGTGGGAGGCAGGAGGGCAGTGGCAGAAGCTAAGTCAGCCTGGGTTATAGAATAGGCCCTTTCTCAAAAACAAACAAAAAACAATAAATAGGCCTGGACAGATGGCTCAGTACTTAAGAGCACTTTCTACTCTTGCGGAAGATCTGGGTTTGATACCCAGCAGCCACATTAGGTGGCTTACAACTGCCTGTAACTCCAGTTCCAGGGGATCTAACACCCTCTGTAGGTCCCTCTGGACATCTGAACGAGTGTGCATATATGTATACACAAATCAAAAATAATAAGGCTGGGCATGGTAGTGCACGAATCTGTGATTCTAGCACTTGTGAGGCAGAGAAGGCAAAGCTCTGTATATTTGAGGCTAGCCTGAGCTATAGAGTGAAACCCTGTCTTTAAAAAATAAGGCTAAAAAGCCGGACAATGTTGGCACACACCTTTAATCCCAGAGCTCAGGAGGCAGAGTCAGGAAGATCTCTGTGTGTTTGAGGTCAGCCTGGTTTACAGAGTGAGTTCCAGGACAGTCAGGGCTACACAGAGAAATCCTGTCTTGAGAAAACAACAATAATAAAAACAAATAAATAAGATAAAACCACTGATTCACTGGATGTGGTGGCAAAAACCTGTAAAGTTGGGAGGCTGAGATAGGAGGTTGCCTTGAGTTTCAGAGCAGCTTGACCTACAAAGGGAGATTCTGCCTCAACAAACAAACAAACCAACCAACCAACCAAATATGGACTAGAAAGATGGCTCAGGGACGAGAGTACTTCCTGTCTAGCTGTGAGGAGCAGAGCTCAGATCCTGGCACCCGTGTCCCATAAACGTCTCTACCTCCTGCCACAAGGCATCTGATGTCCTTTTCTGGACTCTGCACACACTTAGGTATAGGCACTCATTCACCCACACAGAAATCAAATATACCTTTAAAAAAATAAGGGGGCTATGGGTGTGGCTCAGCAAGAAAGTGCATGTGAGCGAGGGATGAGTATGGGTCATCAGCGCCCGTGGAGGTGTGTGCTATAACCCCAGTCCAGGAGGCAGATAGGCAGACTCCAGAGGCTCCCTGGCTAGCCGAACCACTGAAAATGGTACAGGAAAACTCCAAATGTCAACATCTGGCCTCCACATGTGTATGTGAGTACATCCCCACATACATATGCCCCCAGTGCCCTGATAACAGCAACAGAAAATAGGGCCAGATATGGCAGACTTGGCAAAGGGCTTGTCAAGGACCTGAGTTGGATTCCCAGAACCCACGTAAAAATAACAAGTCTTTAAAAATACAGGATTGGGGATATAAGTTGGAATAATACTCGCCTAAAATGTGTGAAGCCCTGGTACCTTATAAGTCAGGTAAGGTAGTGCATACTGTAATCCTAACATTTGGGAGGGGGCAAGATAATCATAAATTCAAGGTCACCAAACCTTGTTGCAAATAAAAATGAAATCACTGCTTCCCTGAATATTAGCTAGAACTGAGGTCAGCTTTTTAACCTTTTGGCCTCTGAGGCTATAAAATGGGTAGATGCTACGGGTGACTATGGGTATAAAGCCGGCAGTGGCATGTTTCTCAGTGTTGGGATTTAACCTCGGGCCTCACATATGCTAAGCAAGTACTTTACCACTGAGCTATATCCTCAGTTCTCTTTTTAACTTTAATCTTTACTGTGTCTTTACTTTGAGACAGGGTCCCACGACGCAGTCATGGCTGGCCTGGAACTCCTCACCTGTCTGCCTCCCAGAGCTGGGGTGAAAGGCGTGCACCACCATCCCAGCCTTACTTTTGTTTTGAAACAAGGACTCACTAAGTCCCCCAGGCTGGCCTCAAACGCTGTAGTTCAAGTTTGGTCTTGAAATGGAAAGAAATGTTTTTTGTTTTATATTTATTCAGTTAATTTTATTTGTGTGTGTGTGTGTGTGTGTGTGTGTGTGTGTGTGTGTGTGTGCACATATGTGCCGAGGCCAGAGGACATCCTGCAGGAGTCTCTTCTCTGCCTCCACCATGTGGGTAGGCCTTAGGGATCAAGATGCAAGCATAGGCTTTTTAGGTAAGTGGTATGGTGAGCTGAATCATCGCCAGCCCTGGGTCTTGAACTTTTGATCCTTTTGCCTCAATCTCTTAGGTGTTTGAACTACAGACCGCCTCCCACGGACTTGGGTCTACCTGTGTAAGGGTCTCACCTGGTAGTGAAGCTGAAACTGCTCCATGTCCACACCCAAGAACTTGGCATTTACGGCAAACCTTCCCGCCTCATCTCCAGGAGTGATGTCAAAGATGACGTTCCTGAAGCTGTCAGGAAAAGGAGTCAACACAGGACCCCTCTTTTTGAGCCCCACCCCCACTCTGCAGGTGCTCCTGGGGCAGCGGTGGTGGGTTCCACCGGCAGCCCAGGCTTCTCCTCGTGCCCCATTGCTGGCAGCCTGCTCTCTATCGTCTCCCAGTTTGACTTCTGCCTATTTAATCTTTTTTTACTTGCCTGGCCCTACCAAGCTGGTCTCATCTCCAGAAAGCGTTCCCAGCATCCTTACCAGCGCTATAACATGCCTGCTGCTCTCCCCTCTGTCTGAAGATGCTCCATTTCCCCACCTTCTTTCAGCAAGCAACTTCCTCCTCCTTCCAACCCAGAGCCTGCTCAGAGCTTCATCCCAGCCTTGTCCCTCCCACGAGACAGGAAGGGTCTGACATTCTGACACATACTGAGAGATAGGGAGATCTTCAATTTCCACCAAGACGCCCTTTTCCAGGAGCTGGGCGGCTGTGTAATGAAGACATGGCTGCTTCTTCCCCTTCCCAGAACTCCTGCTTAAAGGAAGGAGACTTTGTCTGAAAAACTTTCAATACTGGCTGCCAGCTTCTGGTGCCTGGCAGGAAGATGCAGGCCCTGAGGAGCCTCCCTGCTGTGGAAGATGAGGGGGTCACAAATGCCAGAGTTAGGGGCACGTAGTGCTGAACTGGGGGTGATTCCTAGCCAGGGTTAGGGGATGGAGGGCAGAGGTGCAGAGTTCTGGTGAGGGCAGGGTTTACAACACCTACTTGGCTTTGGGGGCCAGGTGGTCAAGGCAGGCCTGGATGTACTGGTTGTAATAGTCACCCTGTTCCTCATAGAAGGTGGTTTTTGCATCTAGGCCCTTCAGTGTGGCCCGGAGTCTCAGCATCTCTGCCTTCCGCCGCTGCCGATGCCTGCGCTGGTTGCAGATGTCCTGCAGATGGGGACAGGAAGCATGTCGGCAGCCTTCCTGAGGCCTAGACCACTTCACTAGCTCACTGTGAAGATGGCTAAGAAAACAGAAAGAGGGCCTGGGGCAGGAGTGGCTTAGGGTAGAGTGTCTGCCAAGCACCTGTGTTCCATTCCCAGCACCAGGAAAAGGCAACTGTGAAAGCTGTTTTATCTAAGAGACCGCCATGTCCTGACAGGTAGAACCCCTGATTGTACTGGAACCCGAGCGCTGGGATTAAAGGCATGCACTACTATACCTATCAAAGGCTACCGTATCTTAGTGGAAGAGAGCTTCAAAAAAATCTGTCTACTTAACCTTCAGACCATTCCTTAAAAAAGAACCCTAGGCCTTCCTCAAGTAGGTGGCAATTTGGGGTGGCACCTACCAGGGAGAAGTCTGCCAATGGAAAGCCAGCACAGGGGCCTTGCACGAGGTCACCTGTAGTCCTGGCCTAGGTTATCACCTTGGCTAGCTCATCCACCAGTCCCTGATAGCAGTCGCTGGCCCTGACCAAGCCCAGGCCCTGTAGCCGACGCAGGTTCCGCAGGACGCGTCGCTGCTTGTCTGCCAGTGGCAGGAGGGAGTGCGCCATCATTGAGTGGTGTCGTCGAAGTGACTCTGGCTTCTGGGTGTCACAAGCCTGGCGCCAACACATCAGCCGATGATGGGCCTCTTCCTGGGAGGGGGCAGAGATGCTGAGGAGGTTCTGGTCCCTACTATCCTACTTCAGATCAGGACAAACCCCAGAGTGTGGGATCCTGTGCTTCTGGGGTGGGGCAGGGAGTGGGGAGGTGGAGAACACACAGGCCATCACACATGGTGGAGCTTGCCTAGCCTTTCTGGGATATGCCTCTGCGTGCTATTACCACCTTTACTCAGGCTTTGTCCTTATTCCAACAGGGAGCCCACCTGGCATCTTTTCCTGCCTCCAAACCCTCCACCACCACTCCCCAGAGCAATTCCTTTATGTGGTTCTTGACGGGCTGCCCCTCAGCACTATCCTAATCCCAGCCCTGTGGAGGGAGGGACTGGGCTGCCTAGGCTGTCCCCCTCAGCCTGTGGCCTCTGGGGTCAAGGTCAGAGACGTGGTCTTCTGAGCCCTGAGGCCTCTGTGGGAAGAACAGGCAGTGCTGTGAGAGAAGAGTTAAAGACAGCTGTGTGGTGCTGTCCTGGCTACTCACCTGTTCTCTGGGAGCTGACAAGGACAGAATCTCCTCGAGGGAATCCCCAGGGTGGAACTGGATGAGGTCAGCCAGCATCTGTTTGGTACTAAAGGTACAGGGTGAGGTTCAGGAGGGGTCTGGACGGGGTGGCCAAAGAGCTAAGGGTAAGACCTGCCCCAGGTCTGGGCTGTTAGGGATGCCCAGGATGAAGAGTGAGACGGTCCAGGGGAGGTGCTACCCCTTAGAACACCTTCCCTCAAACTGCCCTCCTTCTGTCAGTCCCCGTGACTGATTCTCCTCTGGGTAGCTTTCTGCTTGTGTTCCCAACTCTAAGACCTTTGCTCACAGAACAGGAGCCGCTCTGTCTCGCTGACAGTGTGTGAAGAGTAAATTCCTGGCCTGGACCCATGTGAAGATGGAAATCTTTCAAAGAACTGATTCCACAAAGCTGTCCTAATTTCCATACATGTGTCATGACACGTACTTCCCCTAATCATGCACATACATACACAATAATAATAAGTAAATTAGAAAAAAAAGTTTGAGCTTTTGTCTGACCATCATTAGGACAGGCATGAAAACCTGACAACCTGGTCCCTCCCCCCTCCCACAGGCTGTGACTTTGAGTCGTGGACTTTAGAGGAAGCTTCCATCTGAGCCCCCTCCTCACCTGAAGCAGTCTGTACCCAAGGAGAAACACAAACCTAAAAACCATTTGGTCAAGCCAAGCATGGTGGCTCATGTCTGTAATCCCAGGTAAGATAGGCGGATTAACTGGAGTTTGAGGCCAGTCTGGACTACAGAGCAAATCTAGGCCACGGGAGGCTACAACGGGAGATTCTGTCTCAAAAAGCAAATAAACCAAAGCATTTGGGCAGCAGACACCTTTGGCTCTAGGATCCCAATCATGCCCATGCCTTCAGCTATGACTCCAAGGAAAAGGCTAAGAGGTCGCCAAAGAAGAGCTGATTCTGAGCGAGGCAAACGTGATGCAGGCTTCAGTGAGAACTTTTAGAACAGGGGCGTGGGTAGGGCAATAAGAAGCATGATGGCCGTCTCTTGAGTGGAACCACCATCTAGGCAGCAGGCTACGGAGCCCCAGGAGAACCCCCACACCTACCTCAGAAGTAGGCTTTGGCTGCCGGTGTGATCAGCATCTGCCTCCAGTCCTTCGAACTTGTTGGTGAGTGTCAGGGACACTTCGAGCCTGCTCAGATCTACGTGCCCATCTGTGGCTGTGTTCTCACCTGAGATAGGCACACGAAGATGGGGTGAGCCCCGCCCACCCCCACTGTCCCATGCCCTGAGCCCCGACACCTGCGACCACTGGGCCTCTGTATGGTCTCAACCTGGGTGCTAGCTGGGGCTTGCAGTGTGGAGGTCCTGGCACCGACACTGCCCTTCCGCTGCGTGGCAAACTCCTCTCGTTCCTCTCATCCCAGTGCCCTAGAACTAGACATCTAGACGCAGTAGGACTCAAGAGGCTCTCCCTCCCCACATTTCTTATATACGATTTCATTGGTCATTGTTATAGCTTGGCCTCCAGTAGCATCAATATCTGTATGTCCACACAAGTCTGTGTCCCCCAGAGTCATGGGGAACAACAGAGGAGTCCTTATGATGAGCTGCCTGCTGACAGCCATCCTTGAAGGTCTAACTAGCTCCAGATGCCAAGAAGGCACACACCCATGAGGTCAGAGATAGAAGGTGGCTCCCCAAGGTCCTCTAGGAGCTGGTGCAGGGGGTCTTGGTGATCTGGGGCCAGTTGGTCTTGGTGTTCCAGCAAGAGCTGTGGATGGTAGAAGGAAAGGGGTGCAGAGTTGAGCCAGGCCTGTCTCTGGGGTCAGGGATCTTCTTGGACTTTCAGCCTAGCCCTCCAGGGCTGACCCCTTACCCTGTGCGTGCTGATCAGCTCCCCTACAGTGATGTACACCACAGGTTTGGCCACAGCTACCATATCTGAGTACTCATCTATGGCGAAGCGCTCCTCTGGCTCTGGCACCTGGCAGGCTCTGTAGATGAACTTCCTGTCCCAGAGAGAGGGTGTGTCAGAGTGGGGTGGGCCGTCACCCATGCCAGGTCAAGTCTGCTGCCAGTCTCAGCCCCGCCCTGCTTTCATCTGGTTTTCCTCTGTCTCAGTGTGCCATCCGGACTAGTTTGATGGTCTCTGTACTCTGGGCGGCCTACTACTATCCTCCAGAGCCCCATTCCCCGTGTCTCTGGGGGCTTCTTCCTCAGACTCTAGAGAGAAGAGTAGGATGCGACCCACGAGGGGTGGAGGGAGGGACGGGGCGCCAGGACCAAGACCTGAATTTCAGATGCATGTCCTCCAGGTAGCCATTCAGGACTCGAAGGTGTTGGCTCTCTCCAGAGAAGGTCTTGCCGGCAGCAGCATGCTGTAGGAGTTGGGCCACAGCACCTAGCGCATGACGCTGTGGGGCGGCCATTGTGCTGCCTGCTGCCAGGGCCACGATGTCGAAGGCATCAGGCGCTACCACAGCTGGGTTCAGGAAGCGGTAGTACAGGAGATTCCCAACCACCTGAGTGCAGAGGAGAACCTTCTAGAAGCTGTCCTGACAGTCATAACTCCACATTCCACATGGTGGGCCAGACTCTGTTTATAGGAGGGAACCCATTTCTTTGAATGTTTATAGCATAGTTTGTCATCCTGCTTGTCTTGGGATCACTGGCAAAATTGGGCAAAGGAGAGTCTTGGAGGTTGCAGAAGAGACACAACACTTGCCTTATAGACTTCACTCTCCGTGGCACTGGGAAACTTCTTCTCCAGGGCTGTCTTCAGGACTTTGGCCATATACCGCATTCCATACCTTAGGAACAAAACAGGCATGTGTGGCCCTTCGGATTCCTGTCTCAGGACTCAGTATGAGCCTGGCTGCCTCTCTCATCTCAGTCACACCAGGGCCCACACACATTCCCTCGACTTGCTCGTGCTCCCTGTTGGAGTCCGGCCCCTGAGCCTTTGTCCTTCCTCCTGTCTTGGGTCAATACCAGGGACAGGGCCCTATTGGCCCCTGAATCTTTCCCCGCCTCACGCTCCTTGTTTCTGAAACAGGGTCCTGTAGCGTGTGCTTCTGCTACAGCTGTGTGCTACCACATCCAGCTCAAGAACCTTTTCTGAGGCCTTCTCACTTCCCCACAGATCACCTCTGCTTACAGTACACCTCACCTTCCTACAGAGGCAAGTTATTCTGCCTCTTGGGTACCTGACGGTCTAGGAGGCTCTGAGGCAGTCAACTCTACCAGCTCCCAGAGGTCCCGAGTAGCGTGTCTGGGCTGGGGCAGGGCCTGCCTGCCTACCTGCTAACAATCTACTCTCTGCCATGTCCTTCCCGTCTGCATCCTGGCCCCTGGCTGGAGTGAGTGCTCAGTCTCACAGGGTTCTGGGAAAGTAGAAGTGTTAGTGCAGCGCGCTGAGCATCTTTGTCACTCCTGTGACGGGTTTGCTGCCGCAAAGCTAACTAGACTTGGCGGAAAGCTATCCCAGCTCCCAGCAGATTCATAGCTCGTTGTGTATTTCTCTTCTTGGATGTCAGACGGTCTTTCCTTATTCCCAGCTGTGAAGCCTCAGTCCTGCTCTGTGGTCTGGGGCTGTTTCCCCTCTGGCAGGCAACCACCCTCATGCTGAGAACCAA